CGCCGCCCGCTAATTTGGCTGTCTGCGGGGTAAGCGGCATTGGCGCCAAAGCTGTGTAACTCGTGAAGAATATAAAAAGCTGTGTAAGAATATAAAAAGCTGTGTAAGAATATAAAGACCTCTGTAAAGCTGTGTAAAGCTGTGTAAAGCTGTGTAACTTGTGAAGAATATAAAAAGCTATATAACTTGTGAAAAATATAAAAATGGATATGGAAAGACAGCCTATGATTTATTTAAATGCTTCTTAGAGAAGCGAGGTCTAGGAAAGAAATAGACTTTGGGAAAGAGTTTACCGCCCTTCTCGATTATGCACCGCAGAAGCCCCCTCGGCAAAAGGGGGAAGATAAAGTGAAACGGCGCTCGCGTCCAAAAGTACAAGTAGAAAGTGCAAATGTGGTCACCTTCGACCTAGAGGAAGAAGACCCCGAATCGGAATTGGAACCAGACCCAGAGCCTCCGGCAGAACCGGACTTGTAACCTTCCCTTCCTGATCCCGACTCAGATTCAGACGGTTCAGGCAGTTCGGCTCATCAGCAGATGCAAACCAGCCTCAGTGATGGTCAACTGCGACAGCTGCTGAAGAAATTAGAAGCACTGAAAACAAAAGAAACCTCCGAACCCTCTGCCCCACCCTCCTACAATCCAGTAGTAAAGAAAGGGGAGTGGGAGGGGGGTGTTGGGCACGGGGTAGGGGATTACGGTAATAACCCTGCTAAAGGTTGGCGTGGGATGATCAAAGATGCAATTGTTATGGGGGAATTTTCGGCTATGGGTCCCTCGGCATTCCCGGTGTTTAACACTACACAGGGGGAGTGGGAGACATTGGATTTAAAGGCAGTAAAGGAGGCGCGTCAACCGGTAACATCCTATGGGTTAAAATCATCGTATACTCGGGCAATTATTGCACATATTTTTTCTGCATATATCTTAGCACCATATGATATCCGTATGATAGCTCAATTGTTGCTTACTCCCCACCTTCAGATATGATTTAAAGTGAGCACAGCAGAGGAAAAGGCTGGATACATGGCTACTGCCTTTTCTGCTGCTGTTAAACCCCTTTTACAATAAGGTTAGAGCTATCGTGGGGTACTAAAGATATGAGATGTTATAATTGTGGATGGACAGGACATTTTAAAACGAAACAGTGTACTGTAAAGAAAATTAGTTCAGCAGCCCGTCACCCCCCCAGTGGGGTTACTGGTTTTGCAGATAAATGTATTAGATGTGACAAATTTGGACACAAGACAATTGAATGTCGTTGCTTTGCAACCTAGCTTGCCTAGCCCTTTAATGATACCTCAGGGTTGGGATTTAATAGTAATTGATTTAAAAGACTGTTTTTTCACAATTCTTCTACACCCAAGCGATTGTGAAAAATTTGCTTTCTCTGTCCCAGCTATTAACAAAGGAGAGCCTGCTAAGAGATATGAATGGGTTGTTTTACTTCAAGGTATGAAGAATTCTCCTGTTCTTTGTCAACTGTATGTTGCCTGAGTATTGCAACCAATCCGATGAAAACTGCAAAAATGTGTTATCTATCACTATACATATGATATCCTAATTGCAGGCAAAGATTTAAACAAGAACCATCTCCTCTACCTGCTACAATCAGAATTAGTGAAAGCAGGACTGGCAATTGCACCAGACAGAAAGCAGCGATGGCTGTAACTACTCGGTTAGAAGTATTTGCTCTTTTGATTATACGAGGTTATTCACGTTGTCAGAAAATTATGGGCTGTGATCCATCACAAACTTGTTTGCCACTGACCAGGGTATGGTTAGACTGGACACAACAATCTAGCTCTGCTGTTTAGTTTTCTCTGATAGGTTTTGTTGGTCCTCTTAATATACATTTTCCACCTCATAATATGTTTACAATGCTAAAGAATAATCAGTTTGAAGATGTTACCTTTTATCCTAGTAAACCTGTTATAGGATTAACTGTCTTTACAGATGCAAGCAAAATCAATCACACAGCCGGATATGTTTGGCAAACAGACAATGGTTGGAAAGAGCAGAAGATATTTGGTCATTTTTCCAATTTGCTACAAACAGTAGAGCTAAGTGCTGTTATTGCAGTATTTCAACGATGGCCTGACACCCCTCTTAGTATTGTCTGAGATTCTTTATATGTTGTAAGCATTGTTCAACATATAGAAAGGGCAATTTTACAAGAAGTCACTAATCACAGGTTGTGATCTTGTTAAAAACCTTATTACATCTTGTGAATACTTGTAAATGTACATATTTTATTATGCATATTCGTAATTACAGATTCTGGTCTGCGGTGGGTACCAGCTCGATGGGTGAAACACTGGAAAAAGTCAACACTGTCCCCAGGACACCCCCCTTGTCAATGACTGAATGAACTGAAATTTGATCTTAGGACATCCATTTTATGGATGTTTTCAGTCCTTCTTAAGGTGAAGGGAGCAACCTTTTTTACATTAAAGTTCTGCATCAAGACCTGCAGTGGAAAGGTCTGTGATGGACTGTGGACTTATATACAACTCATTTAATACATTCTCTCTGAGATAGTCATGTACTAGAAGCTGGTAAAAATAAGTATGTCCAGGTTTCTATCAACCTTTGGAGACCTTTATAAATACTGCTGGCTACTTCTTCCAACATAGGCTGGCCACCTGTGTCGGAATGAGTGTGCATTTTGGTCAGTATAAAAGCCCAAGCCTCATGCGATGTGGGGGAGGCAGAGCCTCTGCGGGGACGCCTGCTAAGGTTGAGCCTGCCACCTCGCACTGCAATGATGCTTCTCGGAGCTGGTTTTCCTGTTAGTCTCCACAGGGTCCTTGTGCCACGTTCTGTATGTGGGATTGTGTAGTGGAAGTAATGATTGTTGGGATTTTGTGCTTCAAATATTGTAGTTGTGTGGACTGTGCTTGTGGGATCCCATACGTGTGTGTGTGTGTGTTGAGGGCAGACGGTGTTCTGTGTATTTTTTGTTGTTGGGTTCATGTAAAAGTTTCTAATAGATAGTAGTTTAACATTTCAGACAAGAAAGGGTTAATGCAAAAGTGAGGTTGCTGGCAGATATTTATGGTTGCTGCTGAAGCAGGCAGGCAGCTGTAGCTGCTGCCAGGCAGGCAGGCGTTTGTAGCCATGCAAAGCAGGGTGAGCAACTTCAAAAAAAAAAAAAAAAAAAAAAGTTATTTGATAAGAGTTCAGTCCCCATGTTCAAAAACAGCTGCCCTCCGATTCGGCTCCCGGTGCTCCACCGGTGGAAGGACCAGGATGGACACCAGAGCCGAGGAGAGAAAAAACAAAACAAAATAAAACAAACCCAAGCTTAATATGTTTAAAGTAACCTGGGGATGAATCCAAGACTTGGAGGAACAGATAGATCGGTTGAAACAAGAACTGCTAACTGAAAAAGCGAGAGGGGTAGTGCAACCACAAGCCTTACGAGCCGTCACCTAAGCAGCATCAGGGTGGCAGATACAGAACCTATCTACTTCTCAAGAACTGATAACCTGGAGGAGGGGGTATATTTGTGTCCTCCTGCCTACAGGTCCATGGCGAATGCCTGCAAAGTTTGTCAAGCCTTGCCATGAGCTGGACAGACGAATGGAGGAATCTGATGCCTCAGCTGCAGGAGCTGAATGTGAATACCCCAAGCAGAATGAGATAGAGAAAAACCAATGATTGCTAAACATCATTTGGGGGCAACTGAAAAGTAACAGCTTGAATATGTGTGTTTGTAAAGTAGTTATTGTTAGAGGCTTTGATTTTGTGTATGAAACCATCTGTATTTACTAGCCAGTTACTGATAACAAACTACACCTTGTAGTCACTTGTAAAAGAGATGTTAGAGTATGCAAATTTGTAGTAGCTGCTAGAAAATGCTAAGGCAAAAGATAGAAATATTCTAATACAATGGTAGTGTTATAAAGCAGGTAATGGAACAAATTAAGAGGGTGGGAGAATTCCACTGGTAAGAAATTTCTTTGGCTAGTCCCTTGCTGGCATCAGCATCTTCAACATGCTGCTGCACCCTGTAATAGTTACTCTGCTAATGTAAATCTGTGTGTGTGCCTTGCCATAATAACAACTTGTTATTGAATGAAGCAGGTGAAACTGCATTTACAAGGTGCAAGGACTGAGGCTGACCAAATGCCTGCTACCACAATCAAGGGCAAGACTGGGTTGGCCTCTGTGCCTGCCACCCAGAAGAACCTTTAGCTCCGCTGCTGGCTGCAACCCAGCAGGCGTGGAGTGGTGGGGACACATGCCATGCCAGACCTTGATGTGAAGGATGGCCTCCCCTGTTACCAGAGAGCCATACGTGTTGCATGAATCTCTCAGACCATAGTAGCTTTATACACAAGGAGCTGCGACAACTCAAAGGAAATTTACACAAGTTAAAGGAAGGTGACTCTTGGGACCTCACCTCTTGGTTAAAGTCACTGGGACTAGGATCATGGTTAAGCAGTATTTTAAGCCATTTTTTGCCTTTATGTATCTTGCTTTTGTTTATCTTGATTTGTTTGCCTTGCATTATTCAATGTATTCAGCAAAGCCTTATGAAAATTGTAACAAATATGCTTGAAAAAGAAAAAGGGGGAATTGTGGAAACGTGGTTAGCAAGCAAGGGTTAAGTTCCCATGGCTGAACTTGGCCAGGGACCAGTTTTGTAAAAGTCAGCAAGAAACACAGCTCGGTAAAACACCAGTTGTGCAAAAGGATAAGCTGACCTTGTAGTTAATGAGTATCTTGAAGGGAGGAACAAGGATGTTAGAAAAAGGGATGTGCCTGTAAATAATGAAACCACAGGAGTTTCCCAAGAATGTGTGTGTGTAGCAGTCTAGCTCTATATATACCCTAGGCTTAAGCAGAATAAACGGATCACTTCTATCAATCATATTGATTGTGATGTGTTCCCTCCGCATCACGACGACATAGAGTCTCTGACAGTTATCTTCTCCTCTAACTCTCTCTTTGTCTTTCTCTCCCCTCTCTTCCCTCCATGCTCCCCATTGCAGAACCGCATGCATGAATCTCTCATGCTCTTCGACTCCATCTGTAACAACAAATTCTTCATTGATACCTCCATCATTCTCTTCCTCAACAAGAAAGACCTATTTTCTGAGAAGATCAAGAAATCACCTCTGACCATCTGCTTCCCCGAATACACAGGTATGTGCCAGGGCTGGCACAGCCCAGTGTGATCCCACCACCGTGCCACCGGGGTTGGGGGCTACAACTCAACCCAGAGGTGGGTACAGGGGCAGAGGGGACAGGACACCATTATGGAGGGCAAAAGCACTGCCCAACTTCAAGAGCTGCAGTGGGGCTCCAGCACCCCACTCATGGGGCGTGGTTGTGTCCTGCATTTGGTCAGTGCTTGTGGCAAAGGTGCAGCTGATGGGACAGAGGGTCAAGATGAGCTTTGAGGACCCTGGCCACAGGTAGCTGTAGAAAAGTGAAACCTTGACAAGACCTGACTGCCCACCAATTAAGCCATCCTGTTTGTTAATGGCTCCTGAGGAGGTCCTGATGGAGGAGCCAAGATACATGGTCCTCCAAGCTGCATTCTCCCAGGAGTGCCTTTGTACAGGGCACAGCTGGGGAAGGAAAGAACCTCATTACAGCAGATGTCTGAAACCACAAGAGAATCACACATTTTGAAGCAAAACTAATGTGGCTTGGGGAAAAGAACAAACGCTGGGAAAATAGGGTAAGAACAGATATTGCTTCCAAATTCTCCAAGGGGAAGGAAAAATCACCTCAGATTCAGAGGCTCCAGCACTCCCTACAGATACTGAGGTGTCTCTGAACTACTTCACTCAGCACAACTTCTGCCTGTATTCCAGACCTGGGGGACAAGGGGGTCCCCAGCAGGACAGCCCCCATTCCCCTACAGCAGAAGTGCACCAGCATTTCCACCAGAGGTTTTGAGGCTTCTCCATCACAGAAGCAGCAGCACTTTTTTCCCCAGCCACCTGGCAGGACACCCCAAACTATCCCACACAAAATTGTACAGCACATCCCAGCTACCCTGGTGGCACCATGCCACCACCCCTGTCCTTTGGCCACCTCCCACATCGGTGAGAAGGGGAAGTGGCAAGCTGGAAAAGAAAAATAAGTCTCCAGATAACAGCAGCCCTTCCAAAGGTGATTCCAGGGGTGTCATTCAGGCTGCATGGCTTCCCACAAGGGGCTGGGCACAGCTGCTCTCACTGTCCTAAGCAGCTTAATACAACAATGAACAACTTCCAGCTCAAACATCTGGCCCTTCTCCAGCCTTACAGGAACAGACAACAGCAGCACATCCCCATGCAGCTCCTGCCCCCCACCACCACCCCAACCTCCCCCATTCCAATACCCAGGTGAGACCTCCCCCAACAGTACCCAGAGGGGCTCACTCCCGCTAAGGGGGCCCAGACACCAACCACAGGCAACATTGGAGTGGCCACCAAGACTCCCCCTGCCTGACAGGCTGGGAGGCCACCAGGACCCCCAGCCTTTCTCCCACATGCACTCCATGAAGATGCACTACAGGGACTTGCTGGCTATGCTGAGGCAGCAGTGATGCCAAAAGAGCATCCCTGGAAAGCAACCCAGCCAGACACCACTGGAACTGCTGCCCTTCCCCAGGGAAAAAACAGGAAGCGGACAGAGAGGACAAAGCAGACACAGCTGGGGAGGGAGGAGTCCCAATGGAGCCCAGGTGCTCTGTGATTTGGGGAAAAGAGGGGGAAATGGGGCCAAATGGAGTGGAAAAGGGTAGTTGGGGAAGGGAGAGGAGAGAGATGGGGCAGGAAAAGGGGTAAATAGACCCTGCTGGGGGGTGAAAAAAAATGGAAATAAATAGGGTTTGCCTGTTTTTTTTTTTTTTAGAAATAAAGTACTTTGCAAGCAGCAAGGGGCTGGATGCATGGCCAGAGGGTGGTGATCCATGGCCCTGACTCCCCCCTACTCTGTCCCCCCACCTCTGCCTGCAGGTCCCAACACCTACGAGGATGCGGCTGCCTACATCCAAGCACAATTTGAAAGCAAAAACCGCTCCCCCAACAAGGAGATTTACTGCCATATGACGTGTGCCACAGACACAAACAACATCCAGGTGGTATTTGATGCCGTCACTGACATCATCATTGCTAACAACCTGCGGGGCTGTGGCTTGTACTGACACCCCCCCCAGTGCAAAGCGACTTCTAGGGTGGCGGTAGCTCTGGTGCCAGGAGAGAAAAGAAACATGAAAATAAAGATTAATAACAATAACAAAAAACCCAATGCAACCACACACACATGCATGTGCAGGAAAAAAAATAAGTGAAACAAAATGAAAACAAAACAGATTGAATGAGAGAAAAACAAATTGTGATTGTGCAAGTTGGTGAATAAAAAAGCATAAGGAAAAATTATATATATACGTATACAGTATACACCCACCTTTTTGTTGGTCTAAGAGCCCCTCGCTGCATCCTGGGGGCAGCCCTGGGGATGGAAGGGTCTCTGCCCAGCCCAACTCTGAGAGCTGTGGGGCAGAGGGACAGTGCTGGGATCACCCCCATGGCAAAAGCAGGGGGCTGTGCTGGTGCTCATGTGCAGGGGGGATACTTCTTCTCCCAGCACCTATTTGACCATGGGGGTTTATTTTTTTGTTACTATTATTATTATAATTAATCATTGTGGGTTAGCTTTTTTTTTTTATTTTTATGATTAATTATTTCTCTTCCCAGCACAGGGCTGCTCCTTCCTGCCCCCAAGCCCCATCGGCACCCCCAGCCTCCAGAACCTAAAATATACATTTTTGTCTTTAAAAATGAGGGGAAAAACCTGAAAACTCCCCCCTGGCCAAATGTCAAAGGGAAACAAAAACAGCAACAAGGCCTGTTTCCAATCTTGCCATCCCAGCTCCCTTCCTGGGGTTTAGGGTTTTTTAGCATAGATTTTTTGGACTCCCCACCCCACTTTAGGGCAAAGCCCTCACTAGCCAGGGGCTGGTGGGTTTTTCCTCCCATTTTCCCTCCCTCCTGGTTTAACAATTCCCCACTGGTTCTGCAGGTTGGTACCCGAAAGCGCAACTCAGCCATATCAGCCCCAGCAGGGCATTGAGTTGGGTCACATGGACATCAAGTTTATTTTAGCTTTTACTTTGTCAGGGGGGGGATGTTTCATTTACGGTATATATACTTTTTTTTGTTGTTTTTTATTCATTTCTAACTCTTCCAGTGGATGCTCTTTTGTGCGGCCTTGTTCTCCCCCCCCCCCATCACCCCCATCCTTTCCCTTTTAGTGGATGGTGATTTTTCTCTCTCATGTGGGGATGTTTGTGATCCAAAAAAAGTAAAAAAAAAAATCTTAAAAAGCAAACTTAAAAAAGCAAGAATAAAAATTATTAAAAAAATTAAAAAAACACACACAAAACCACAAAAAATCATTGAAAACCCCCAAGAAACCCCAGAAAAACAAATGTAGTGTTTACATTGAAGCCACCATTTTCATGACCAACCCTTTGTCATTTCTACTTTGATTAGTAACTAGATGTCTTCACAGCTCTACTTTTATGAGTTACCTTTTTTTATGAGTTACCTTTGCTGAAGGAGAACAGCCTCAGATGTTCAGAAGAAAATTAATCCATAAAGAGGAAACTAAAAATAAAAGAATATGATATATATATATATATAAAGCACTAGGTCTTTCTAAGCCTTTCATATTACCAATCAGTGAGTTTTCTGTGATATATTACACACTGCCAATGTCTTTCTCTGACTAATGGAAAATTTCATGTGTAGCTCAATAAAGAACATGTTTGTCTGTACCCTGGGCTCTCCCCCTGCACCTCCGCCTGCTTCTTTCCTACCCCTTCCCTTGGAAAAAAAACAAAACAAAAAGACTAAAACTTACAGTTTTGGGGATATTTGTGGCTGGTAGCACAGGCAGGAGGGTCTGAGGTGAGTTGGGTGGAAGGGGGAGCATAGAGCATAGAAGCCCTTCCAGATGGTTCAAGTTGCTTCAGAGCAGCACCAGGAGCAAAAATCCCACAAAAAAAAAAAAAAAAAAAACAAAAAAAAAAACCACCTCCCCATGCAAGAAAATACTTTTATTCCTTTGGGACTGCAGAGGCATCCACCAGGGCAAGGTCTTTGGTTTGTGGCAACATGAGAAACACCCCCAGCATGTGAGTTTTTCCCCTTAAGATATAGAGTAGGGTTGTCCAAGAAAGATGAGATTTTTAGTCTCTACTGCTGGAGAAATTTGGGGTTGGTTTGGGAGAATTTTTTTCCCCACAATCTGGGGTCTTCTTGCAGTTTGGGTTTGGTTTTCTGTTGTGGATACCTTTCCTTCACAGCTACCAAGAGCTGCCTCCAAAGGCCAAGGGGTAATTTCTGTTTCACTATAGCTTTGTCAGTTTCCTCTTCCCTAGCAAGTGAACTCAGCTGCTTGAGTTCCTTACCTTCTAGTTCAGCACCATTGTTGAGCATTGGAGCAACCAGGTGATGATTTGCTCCCCTGGAAGATGGCTGAAATCTTTTCGTATATTCTGCAGCTCGGTTGAGGTCCGGGATCGAGAAGTTACCTCTTCCTCTGATTCCTGTATTAATAACTCATTCAGATGTCATCCCCTGTACTACACGTATCGGGTCTTCATCTTTCTTCACTGCGCGAGCTGCTCTTTGTGCCTTTCATTTGCTTTTCCCCTTGCTTATAGGGGCAACTGATATTGGCATAGATTGGTCCTTTGGTTTATCTGCAGTGTCTATCACGGTGGTTGGAGTGGCTGCAGTGTCTTTCACTGTGGTTGGAGTGGCTGTGGTAGCTGTCACTGGGGTTGGAGTGGGTGCAGTGTCTGTTGTCAGGGTTGTTGTAGCTGCTGTGCTTGGGGGTTGAGTAGCTGCATTGTCTGTTGCTTTGCCATAAGAATGAGACATATTTCCCCTGCTTCTTACAGAGCAGGGCTCTGTAGGTGTAGGCCAAGCCCCAGCACGCTGCAACAAGTCATCCCTCTCTGGTATTGCCAGGATGACAGCACACCTCATTTAAGTGTTTTACTAGCTTTTCTGGATTTTGCACTTATTCAGGGGTGAAGTTCCAAAGCACTGGAGGGACCCACTTGCCCATACTATCCCGCACAGCCTGCCACTCATAACTGTCCAAACTTGGGGAAAATCTCTTGGCGGTCCTCCTCTTAGATCACCATTTAAGCTTAGACAAGATGCAAGCCCAACCCTCCTTAACTTTTGAGATTAGATTAAATAGCGCGTTCTCAAGGTGGTATGGCCGTGGATAAAACACATACAGTATTTGTGGCAACGTGCTGATTCCCAGCAAAAGCAGCAGGCAGGTTTCAAGTTGTCATGGTTTAAGCCCAGCCATAACTCAGAACCACGCAGCCACTCTCTCACTTCCCCCCGTTCCTCCCCCCCACTCCCGGAGGGATGGGGAGGAGAATCAAAAGAATGTAACTGCCACAGGTTGACATAAGAACAGTCCAGTAACTAAGGCATGACACAAAACCACTACTGCTACCACCAATAATAACAATGATAAGGGAAATAACAAGGGAAGAGAATACAATCGCTCACCACCCGCCAACCGATACACAGCCCGACTGAGCAGTGATCTAACCCTTCCAGGTAACTGCCCCCAGTTTTTATACTGGGCATGATGTGCTGTGGTATGGAATACATCTTTGGCTAATTTGGGTCAGGTGTCCTGTCTCTGCTTCCTCCTGGCTTCTCGTGCCTCTCCTCACTGGGAGAGCATGAGACTGAAAAGTCCTTGACCAGAGTAAGTATTACTTAGCAACAACTAAAAACATTGGTGTTATCAGTGCTGTTCCCAGGCTGAAAGTCAAAACCACAGCACTGCACCAGCTCCTAAGAAGGAGAAAAAATGACTGCTACTGCTGAACCCAGGACACAAGGGTATCCAAAGGACATTCAAAACCTTCAGATTTCTCAAATGCTCCTGTAAATAACCCGGTGGGAGAGTGGAGGGTGTGAGGTTTCTTAGGGTGTGAGGGTCGTCAGGTGGCCTGTAGCAGACCCCCATGGTAATGTCTCCCAATGCAGCTCTCCCTTTGACCCTGACCCACAAGCTCTCTGTTGGCTCATCACCCATCCCCAGTCACAGTTTTATATGCTTCAGCCTATCATTGCCATAAACAGCTACACCCCTTCCCCATCTGCCTGGCCTGTCTTTCTTAAAGAGCCTGTGACCTTCCATTCCAACACTCCAGTCATAGGAGCCATCCCACCATGTTTCTGTGATTCCAATGATATCATATCCCCATAGACATGTACACATCTCTAATTCCTCTTGTTTATTTCCGATACTACGGATATTTGTATAGAGGCATCTGAGCTGAACTCCAAATGAAGCTGGCTCATTGTCTGGAGAGGCTGAAGTAGCTTTGCATCACTCTGAGAACTCATTACAGGTGCTGGCATCTGAATGGGAGTGTTGGGATGGATTGGTGTCTCTCTCCCCCAGCGGATCTAGTTTAAAGCTGTCTTGACCAGTCTGGCAAGTCTCCTACCAATGCAGCTCTTCCCCTTCTTTGTCAGACTGGCCCCATCAGCATCCAGTAGACCCAGCTTCCCAAAGGGGGAAGCAAAAGGACCAAAGTGCAGGTGCTGTGTTTACAACCCAAACACATGACAGGAACAGAACACGTCACACTCCAGAAATTTCCAAACAGTTTCCAACACTGAACAAGATTTTTTTGTGTGGGTTTTTTATTAACAATAAAACCAAAACAGCAATGCTCTGAGCAAAACCAAAGATCTCCAAATATCTAATAGCATCACAAAGTAAGACTTCCCAAAGAAGTGAATATTGAAATAAATTGAAAATTGAAATAAATTAGTCACCTAAACACTGATGCAACTCCTTACATTAAATTCACCAGGAAATTTACTAAAAATCCAACAGTAAAAATAGTTAACAACACTTCTAGATAATATTGGGCTCCTTCTAAAAGACAGTGATACCAGAATTCACTTTTCAGAAACTGAAAACTCAGCTGTAAAAAGCTAACATCAGCAGCTCCACGTGGATCTCAGGGCACAGTCCTTAAGGAAAACCAGAGGTTGGCAGCTCAGCTGCAGCCAGCCACAGTCCCTCCAGTCCTAAATAAACTCACTGACTCACGGGGATTAAACTGAAATAAAAAGCAAGATACCAGAGCTGTCTCCAGACAGGCCCATCTGTGTGGCTCTGGAGTGCAGAGCAGGCAGGTTGTTCTATCATGCCCCCTTGGTGGATGGTAACACTGAACCG